AAATAAGGACATAAATGACATTTACGTTTATTTATTTCACCAAATGAGCAGATACATTTCTGAATAATGAGGAAGCATCATGTCGAGTTATTTAATCGAGTGACAGCGAGAAAAAGTGGCGGCGAGTTTGTGTGTGTGTGTGCGTGGGCGTGTGTTGGGGGTTGAAAACCGGTTCCGCAACGAAGGCCCACACATGCACAGGCACACACAATCTCGGCAGACACACCCAAAGTGCTCTTCGCTTGTTTTGTATACGTGGCCAGGTGATTTCTTTTATTCACTGTTCACTTTAGCTCACCATTTCGACGACTGGAATGAATCTCACATATGCGGTGGCTAAAATCGTGTGTTTCTTATACCGTAAAAATGGTTCATGAAAATATATTTCCGCATTTGTTAGTTTTATTTCTCTTTTCAAATGTGAATTCGGGGATTTTGTTGTTGTTGTTGAATTATCATGGGGTGATTAAACACCAAACGTTTTATTATTTTCTCATTTAAGTATGAGATTTTATTTGGTGCATTCATGTAGTTTTCCTGCTTCCGTCAAAAGTATTTATTCAGGTCTTGACTTTTTGTCTGAGTGCAAAGCAACATAATGAAAGTGTGCTTTCACACCTGGAGATCACGTCTTTTGAGCCCAACCAGTTTAAGTCCCTGTATAGTGAAAATAAATCTCCCTTGCAAATTCGAGAGCCCTGTGAAATTTGAATTGTTAAAAACATTGCCGAGTCAATAAAACGGGGCTTCAAAATCCTTGCCTTGCCCAACTGAATGCCCTGAAACAAACCACGGCCCGCTCAAATGTCAATCAAATACAAATACTGTGGCCTGAAAAAGGGATGCAACTTTCTTTCGCGTCTTTCTTACACCTACGAGTCGCTACATGTTTGAGACCCGGAATTATATTGCATAAAGCCTCCGGCAGCTCTTGTCTTTGTTTTATGTTACCTGCCAAGGGATTACGAATGTAAATTAGCCGTATGCTAACTTGGACACTTTTACGCAGGTATTGTGGTGGTGTTCGTCGGTGCGCATGGTTCCTTTCAAATAAACAATAAAATGAAAAATATGTTTCGACGGGTTGTCATGGAGGTCATCCACAATGCGACGAGAGGCGCAAGCCACCAGCTAGCGAACAGGCAACGAGCAACTTGCACAACCATGAAACAGCGAGGCGCTCCAGTTCTTAAAGAGTAGGGGAGGGCGGCTCAATGCCTGATAGCAAAGTGCCTCATAAAAAAAAAAAACATACTTTTTACATACAAAGAAAGAGGAAATATGTTCTTTAAGTTCAGTTCATTGCACAGGAAGCAAGTCAGCAGGAATGGCTCAAAATCCAAATGGGAATAGTATCCAAGTGGCGTCTGCAATGGGAACATCTCATAGCCATTAATTGCGGTAGATTGGGATTCTGGGAGAAGCCATCTGAGGTCCGGTGGACTTGGTGATGGTGCTTTTGATGTTGAAGGACTTTACAGATCCAGAGGTGTTCCTGTTCAGGGACATATTTCCAGCTTCATGTATGGTTGATGACCCTTCCACAAAACGGACATTCTGAGGTCTAGAAATCCATTCAGCTTCTCCACCTGCTTGCATAGGTGAGGTTTGGCTCCCCCTGAGAACTTTTACAGATCTTACAGGGCGCTTGCTTTCTACCACCACCATGTTCTGGAGGCTGGGATGATGTCTGCTGTGGGTCTTGGGCTGGGCCTTG